TCACCCCGTTTGGGCGTAGCTTGCCCCTCTTCGGTTTTACGGATCTTGGTTCGTCGTTTATAGATATCCTCTACCGGGCCTCGCTTCGCTGGGCGACCACCCCTCAGCTCGGGGGTATTGTGACTAAATGCAGTGATGAAGGCGCAAATCCAATGATACATCAGCACGTGTGCGGATGGCGGGATTAGAGGATCGATAGGGCTGTCTTCATTATCACTTTCGTCATCCGTAAAATCGCTGCTGAGCTCGCCATAAGGGTTGAGCGAAGTGGGGGAGGTATCCGATTCGATGGATTTAGAGGGGGGAGAAGAGGGAGTCACAGGTGCCGGTTGTACACTCCCCGGAACTTCGAGGACTTCGTCCGGATTGTCTTCATCGTCACCCGTGACGGTGCACGGTCCAGTGATTGCCATGCGATCCAACTCTTCAACAAACTCAGCCCCAAAGCAGCATCGGTGTTCTCAGGGACGCCGTCGACAACATCCTCGTCGAATGACGCCATATCGAACCATTGGGCAGTGTAGCGCACGTGCGCGGGACAGGCCGTGCCTGGCTCCAAAATTCTAGGCGCCGGAGCGACGATGTCACTGGTGTCGAGGACGCAATTTGGAGTCTGAATATGGTACATTAGATGGCATCGGTTAGCAGTGCTATCAGGTACGTACGATCATGATGGCCAGCGCACCCGCATCGTACCGGCTGTGGAGCCCCCTGTCCATGAAAACCCCATTTCGTGGATCATCTACTTCGCGGATCGGTTCGAAATTCGAATCGAGGGGCTGTGGTGAGTTCCGTGACAAGATGTCTGCCATTCCCTTTACAAGAGAGTTAGACTATGCCGATGATGGGTCAAGACGGAGAGACTAACCTGGTTCCCAATATGCCGGTGAACGAGATGCTGCGCCTCACAAAAGTTACCATGCCTGCCAGACAAGATACAGACCTTATCGCGTTGGCCAACAGCGTCCGTGAATCTTTTGTCGGGAATGCTCATATCGCTACTCTGGGAGGGGCGTTTACGGATGACATCCAAATTCAGCACAAGGCGCCCGTTGATGTCCTCAGGCGGCCAGATCCGTCCCGCCTGGTTGGGGTTGAGGTCGACAACGCGCCATAATTGACCGCTGCGGACATTTCGCGAGCCGCGCTTGCCAGTAGAATGTTCGACGATATTCGCATGCACTGTGCCAACGAGGTAGACGGCCACGCAGCGCAAGATTTTTTGGGTTTCGCGGTTTTAGGTCATCCAGGAGATGGGAATGTCGAGATACCACCACTCTTTCCCACGTGTTTTGTCATTCGTTTCTCTAGTGGGATCATAGTGAACCAGAAGACGTATATTCTCGGCAGGAATGGGTTCAGAGGGGGGTTCAAGTGCCTGCAAGTAGTGTGGGGTGTTGATGGTGGACATATTGGTCCTCGTGCAGCAATCTCTAGGCACATCCTTACTGGCAAATGGAGGCAAATAGGAGTTTCATTGAAGCTCAATACCTCCACTGACTGAGCACGGGCGAGATGGTCTCTGTCATAAATATCAACGGTTCAAATGCAGCCGCTTATGATACAGTAATCGGCCAGACTTGTACAAAACACCCCTAGAGATACAAACATGTAGAATACGCAAGAATCATGCTAATTCCAGCTCAGTCCTATCTCCCCATCATCATTTCATCGCCGCTATTCAACCAAGCAGAATAGATATCCCATCTGTGATCTTTGGACGAGTCTTCCCTGCCAGATCGACTAGCGCCGTACGTCGTCTGTGCATATTGCACATACACCCGTTCTGGCGTATCGGACGTGAAATGACTGGGAAGATCTCCGACCGTCGTGCGCACAGCGTCGTAATACAACTGCATGTCTTTCTTCTGATCTTCTCCACCCCGAGTAGAGAAGCCGGTCTTGTATTGCTCCACGTACCTGGGGAACACTAAGTCTACGTAGACTGGGGCCGTTTCAATATACTCACATTTGATACTCCGCCTCTTCTTCAGATTTCAGGAAGGGATCTAAAGACTTTGCCACGATACCTTCTAGCGCACTCAGATCTGTGTCTGTTGGCTCAGAATCGGAATCATCTTCGGAGTATTCTTGCGCTTTGGGGAAAACCATATTTCGTTGTGGAGAGATCTGAGGTGTTCCCATTAGTCGCCGCACTCCTCCGATGATTCTGGCGTAGCGATCAGAAACAAGTCCCTCAATCTCTGAAATCATCTTACCTGGGATGATCAGAATGATCCAGCCGGTGTTGGAAGGGACTCGTTCCCATATCTCTTCCGTGCTTTCCAGGGAGCTTGGATGTGCTGTTCATCGAATAGGCGAAATGTCTTCCCAGGCTCGTAAATAATAGCGGGCGATAGTACTCAACCCAGAACTCATTCGTATGTTCCACGTAACGCTGGAGTCCTTCGAGACACTCTTGCCGTTTGTACAATGCTTCAAGATGCTTGGGATCATACCAGGCTCGATAATCTCGCAGTGGGGCAGGAAGCGATGATGGAGCTACCGGGCCTACACCGAGGAACAGATTGATAGCCGTCTGCTTTTCAGCGTCTGGGGGATTTGTCAGTAGGAAGTTTGCATGTAGACGCCGAACGTACCGAGCATGGAATTCGCATAATATCGCCTTATGTTCTCAATGAGATTGCGAGAATGGCTGTTCCAATGCAGTTTGCGACGATATGTGTCGACACGGTTCACTAACGCGCTCCCTGTATACTGCAGTGCGATGGCTTTGGAGGAAGTCAGTAGCTAGTGGACCTATCGGATATCCCCTAGACTCACTATCGCCGTGATCGTGGTACATCTCGGTCAACATGTTAACGGCATCCGTGTCGAACAGCAGATTGGGTGTTTCCACAACACCGAGTGCATGAAGTTGATGACCTAGAGCACGCTTCCCGAATACAAATTGGGCAGCATTCGTCCGATCAAGGCAATCGACGCAGTTCGTCCGGCAGATGCCATTCTGCAACAGGATGGTATCACGATAAGTACTGCCACTGGTCATGGGATTGGTTTCGTTCCTGGGTAAAGAAGGAGAAACTGACTCGTATTCACCACGCAAGCGATGGCTCTCCGGTTCCGGACCGGAATGGAAAAATCCCGTCATTTGGATGCTCTCCTCCGCGAGGTCTTCGAGATAACCGATAACGTCCTGCTTCTTCCTATACCACGGGGATCAACTTTGCTACCCTCTGACGGCTGACCGGACCTACTTAGAAGCATGGCTCATGTCCCACGCCCGATAGATCATCTTATGGTCATCCGGAAGGAATTGGTTGAGATATTCGACACAGTTGGCATATTCAACTCCAAGCTTTGACTCCCTTGGTTGGGGCTCTCGACACTTTCAAGGACGTCATCAGTTACACACGAATCCGTGGCCTCAGGGGAACATGCCTTGATTAGATTGAGGATCATGAGACTTGGTCCGTAACGACCCAAGAGATCGTCAAAGTGCTTGGCTGAAGCCGTGTAAAAGGGATCTACAACCGTTACTGCAAACGCAGTTAGCCGTAATGCTTGCATGCTAAGCTGGATCCTCACTCTCTATTGGTGGTTTGGGATTCATTCCCATCACATCCTGTGCCCAGAAAGTAGGGATACTTCCTCGATATTGAACATAGCTCGTATATCGCGGGTTTGGGCCGAGGTGATATCCAGTTTCCGGATCATAGGATGGTGCATAGAACGGCGTTGTGAGAGCTTCCGAAACGATCTGTTCTGTTTCTACCTCGTTCGCTACGTCGCCCTATAACGGAGCATGAGATAGGGATATGCAGCTGTAAATGTATACATACATCTTCGTTGACTCCCCGCTTCAGATAACGAGCTCCTGCAAAATGACGAGATCTCCGGGCGATAAGGGTGATGTAGATGACTCGGCTGAAGTCTTGTAATTCTGGCCGACAATATTAGATACGTCCGTTCATTCATGTAGACAATGTGACGCACTAGCTTGATCCACATGCCCGTGCACAAGAGGAAGCAGCCAATCGGATGCCCACCTGAGGTGCTTGCACTCCAGAGCTGGAGTCAGGAGATGGTAGTTCCACGCGTATCGATCGTCGAACGGCGGTTGTCCGCTTTCTACGTCCAGGTCTGGTTTGGTTAGGTTCCGTTGGAGAGTGGAGGTGAGATCGTAGGTGTAGCTAAAGTAGAAATTCTTCGACATGTCGACTTGCTGAAAAGTGTGCAGCAATCTGAGCGTGTTTAGCCAACTTCCTTAAGACTGCTCGTTTGAGACTGACCTGCTCTCCTCTGCTGTCTTCTCACTTCTCCCAGCTGCATTCACGGTAATATGCACTGTCTCCTCGCAATGATACAGGTAATGTCCTCCTAGAAGGGCGACGACCGAGCGTTTGGTGATGAGAATCATATACCAGCCTGCAGTAAACTTGATGAAGCCTGAACGGAGGATAAGTCGAAGTCGGCTTGGCTCGTAGCTGAACATAATGCACCTGCGATCCCATAGAAGCTTAGCACCTTCCCGAGTCCTCCAGAGCTCTTGTTCCCATTCTCAACCATCTCCAACACGTCCCTGATCTGTCGCCCAGTGTACACCGTCTCATCCTCAATCAGCACAAGCTCATCCTGACTCGTCCGGTCGATCTTGAGTATACGGTGACGAGTATCAGACTGATTCGAAGCAATTATATAGAACCGAGTCTTGGTCTCGTAAAGGACAAACTTGTTCAGTGCATGGTGCGGGGGAGGTGTAGATGAGGCCGGATTGGGCTGCAGGATCTTGGAGAGAGAGGTATATGATGCTGCTGGAATATGAGTTGGTCCAGTGGGTTGGCCTAGTTCAGAGGATCCGGAAGGAGGCTTCAAGGATGGTGCGGTGGTAGGCGGAGACGACACTGAGAGGGAGGAAGGCGAACGCACTGATCGCTCTTCACCCTCGCTCTTTCGTTGCTTGTCCGCCAGAGTCGTAACCGTAGAAGATTGAGCGGCATTTGGAGTCGATTCGGAATTTGTGAGCGATAATTCGCTATCGCTGCCTTTGAGTGCTGGATTGGATGCCATGCATACTGTGTAACGACAACAATGCAGTTGGACAGCTCGTTAGTTTAGCACGTTCTATGTAGGACCCTAGTTTGGAAAGTAAAAATAGAGGACAATTCATAAACCTTAACACGAAAGACAAGATAACCCTAAATCCTCCAAACTTTAACTCTGCCAAAGCTTCTAGAGTCAACTAGTATCTCAGGGCTTTACGCAGGCGGGCTCTGGCCCCACTTCGCCGTCGTTCATAGAAGATTTAGGTGTCCATATAATAATTGTCGGAAAGTGTGGAAGACCTACCAAGAGGGTATATACCGTCCCAAGTTCATTTCGTCCCATCAACAAAAGGTTGGCAATTGAGTGGATTGGCACGCCTACTGTACTGATGTGATCCGAGAACTAGTAATTGACCTGAAGTTATGGGGCCGAAACATGACTTGCCCAGGCCGCGGTGGCAGAGCGCCGCTCTGCCAGCTCCGCACCAGCCCAAATCCCCGCAACCACGAGGCATGCGTTCTTGAATTTGGCGTCTGGGGATAATGGTCTGTCGTCATCGTCTGAGGTATCTAATCCGTCTTCCGATAGTTCGTCGTCGGTCTGGAGGGAGGGTAGGGGTTGGGAGATGGCAATAGGCATGTCATGCCTGGTCCTGATGCGCTCGGAGCGACGGGAGCCCGCGCTCGGTGCGTGCGACGAAGATGTCTTGTATCGGGTAGGGTCACCCCGTTTGGGCGTAGCTTGCCCCTCTTCGGTTTTACGGATCTTGGTTCGTCGTTTATAGATATCCTCTACCGGGCCTCGCTTCGCTGGGCGACCACCCCTCAGCTCGGGGGTATTGTGACTAAATGCAGTGATGAAGGCGCAAATCCAATGATACATCAGCACGTGTGCGGATGGCGGGATTAGAGGATCGATAGGGCTGTCTTCATTATCACTTTCGTCATCCGTAAAATCGCTGCTGAGCTCGCCATAACGGGTTGAGCGAAGTGGGGGAGGTATCCGATTCGATGG